ATTCTTTCACATCATTAAAACTCATTCAATCCAATCCATCTTCCCCTACTTATGATTTGGAGATGTTCGTTTTGTTGACAATTTGAGAAGTCTCGCGATCGCTCTCAGCATCAACAGTGTAACCTGTCTGTCATCCGGGTTGGCCGGCGTTAGTCTTGCCAAATTAAAAACTGACGGGGTAACATTGACGGTGTTTTCTTGTATACGGTTGTGTCATAGCTGATATTGCTCAAAAGTTGAACTGAATGCTGAGCGCATCAGCTGTATTGCAAACAGACAGATCCGCGAACAATCAAAAATATACCTGAAACTCGAGTTGACAGGCGTCACGAGGAATTATCGTTTGGGCCTTTAAAAACCAAATGTTTGCATTGCCTATTTTTCGGACTTTAAAGCAGGCGTGGACAGCAGAATTTATCGGTACCAGTAAATTTCGTGACGGCTTATCAACTGCAGCCTGTCGTTGCATTACACAAATAACAAGTGAGAAAGGTACAAAGGTTTGAACTTCGAAAGAAAAATCAATATAAAACAGCAAGGTCATCGTATACTACACGTGTATTAATAAATAAAATAATAACTTCAAAACGCAACATAGGAAAGAAAATGGGGAAGTAAACATGCCGAGGGATTTCAAAAATCAAAAGGCGGCTCAGGTCTACCAGGGCAAGTTAAGATTGACTACGTGGTCTAACTGTTTACATAGGTCCGGTTTCTCCCGCCGTATGTAGGCTGCCTCCAGGTAGCGCAATAACCGAATTGTTCGTGCTCGAACTAATACTCGAAAAGAAGTTTTGGGGTCAACCGAATGGCCACTATCAAGGAGATGTTTTGTAATAGAAGACCGTGGAATCTTTTTCTCCTGCTTTAGAAACCATTTAGGCAGGTGCTCAACTGCCCTGACTGTCAGTTTCCTTTGCGTTTGTCCAATGTAGTTGCATCCACAAGAGCATGTAAATTCGTAAACACAATTTGACGTGGCGTGCAAGGGCAAGGCATCCTTCGCCCGTGGAACTTGGATAGCCTTTGTAGGGCTGCAGAATATGATTTCAGCTGAGTTGTAAGTCCTTTCAATAGCGGATCTCAATCGCCGCTTGATCGTATTAAAGATGTTGTCGCCCTTAAAGGATAAGGATATTATAACGCGCTTTTTCGGAACTGATGGCTCCGTCAATTTCGGCCGGAAAGTGTTGCTATACTTTTCGATGAATCGTGTTGGATATCCACGTTTAAGCAGGACTATTTTGAGGCAAGAAATTTCATCATCCGGCGTTTCAATAGAGCAAAGGTTTCTTGCTCTTTGGAATAGAGTGTAAACCAAATTTCGCTTTCGTTGTATCGGCACAAAGCTCAAGAAGTGTTTTTTACCGGAGAGTAAATTTGATAAAGATTAAACTGCTTCTTAGAACAAAATAACAGCACTACGAAATCAACTTAAGGGATGAGCATCAGAAGGCCTATGCTAAATTTACAACAAAGCTCTTTAATACTTCAAAACACTACGGCAGGAGAGGCTTCGCTGTATGTGGTGGATTAGGTCGATATTCAGTACTTTTCTTCGCAACCCTGTAGCCTGGTTTGGGGGACATTAGTATATCCATTTTTTAAAAAATCGAAACGGCTTCTTCATCGTCATAGATCTCGACAGATTTTAACATGTTAAGAATGTGGAACGTAAAACGAGAATGTTCGCGGGCAATGCTTAACAGCTGCCTTTTCGGGCACTACCTTGAATTACTTTTTTTATCTCCTTCGCAGATTCAAATGGAACAAAATGTTTCTCTTAAGTTGCGGACGTTAAAAGCCTAAACGTTAAGAAGCAAGTAAATGCTCCTGAGTTAATGAACTTTGTCTTGACTTAGGCAAGCCGCTTGCTATGTGAGACACTTTTGATGATGAAGTTTATCAGTATTTGAAACTTCTACTCTGCCAGACAGTGGGTGTGTGTTATTTTTTAATAAATGTCTCGTTAACATCCTGAATACTTTAAGTCGGTACCGACGAACACATCTTCATTTACGTCAATTGAATAGCCCTGGAATTATGTTTCTATTGATTCCAGCTCGTTAGGGTTCCTCCATTTATGTTTTCGACCCTCAGACACGTTAGCCCTGCTGTTAGGTCTCCTTTGATCACGTTTGCGTTCTGAAACCACACAAAACCTTCCACCACATCAGACGCCTCGCATGCTCCCTCGTGAGCACTCTGCACTTCTTACCACAGGTTCGGAAGTAAACGTTGCTGGGGTAGGCAAAGATGACTCCTCAGGCATTTGTGTTGTTAAGATCTCCTGACGGTACCTTAGTAACATTATAAAAATGAGGGTTGTGCTGGTTGCTGCCTGATTGCAATGAACTCATTTCGCGGCCAGTGTGCGTTTTAAAAGTGACACAATCAAGTACAATGGAAAACGGGCATTTGGACATGAAGTCTTTGGATTTGTTAAGGAGCAGCAAAAAAGGTCGGCAGCCATATGTCATTGGACATCTATTTTCGTCCGCACGTTGGTAGCAAAGCCTGCTGTCTTACCATAGTGGTTAATTTGCAACAACCCAAATAACAAAGAAAAGAAGATATGTTCTGAGGTCACCGTCGACAGTAAAGATTCAGACAGAAAAGAGACCAGTTGGTCCTCAGAAAGCCTTCTAGAGTTACTAGTTAATGTCAAAATAACTGCAGTTTCTGTAACCATGTAACCTGCTTTTTACTTGCGAAAGAGTTAGAATTGTCTGTGATTAAATAAAATCCGGCAATTGTTCAGCAAACGTAACTTACCACTGTGGTGTTCTGACTGATTGTTAATAATATATCAGCTCTTCTGTTGTGCACATTTTACCTGGAAATTGTCATAGATCTCCGTTCCTTAGAACGAAAAAGAGAAAATAAGGCTATATGCCAGTGGATTTAAACGTTCTCTCTGGAGTCCAGGGTAGTACTCCTGCATTTACATCCGGATACGGTCCTTCGGAGCAATCAGGCGGCCTGAAATAACTAATACTTGACTGCTTTAACCCGAATTTCCACTGACCAAAGAATATAGTCCTGTTCGCGACTTAACCTTGGAACATAAACGTACCATCCGAGTTACTCTTTATTTTTGTCCTTATGCAGGGCATTTTGCTGTAAACTAATTAGGTGCACATTTATATAGATACCACTCAGTTGGTTCAAGGCAACTTTAGGTCAGTATCATTGACCTACTTCAGCGGCAAGGTAACGTATCATCCGCTACTCCGAAAACAAGTAAAGGAAATCGAAACATGGTCTACTGTGATGAAAAATTCCCACATCCTGCCGACAAATGCAAGCAAGGCAAAGTTTTTTTTTTCACGCAAAAACCTCATATAGCTAAGGCCAAAATGTTTGCTGATCGCCCACATTTCTGCGTTGGCACAAACTAAGCTAAGCTGACAGCACCTAGTTACTAATATAACAAATGGCATTACTAATCTATCGGACAGTGAGTCATCGGATTAGTGGCGACCATCCCCAACGCGCAAACGTGAGGAACAGCTCCTCTCCCTGCTGTGTCCGCGGGGGCCAGAAGGCTAGAAGGCAACATTCGACACATGATTGCTCTGTCTGCATCCTGTGATGCATATGCGATCAAAGTGATATCCAGAGCAATGCGCTGAGGCTTAAATGTCTCTTCGAGAGATAATTTATTGTTGCAATAAACTAAAATGGAAATAAAAGTATTTTTTTTAATGTCACTGAACTGCTCGCAAGTAAGTCATCTAGATAACTTGTAGTCTAAGTACAAAGTCAAATAAAATCTTTTTTCAGTATTGCTTATTTTCGCAGATAGACTCCATAACTTCTGCCCATTATCAAATAACAGTTGAAAGCTATGTACAAAGAATTGTTTGGCATAGGTCGTTAAAAGGCTGCCCCTGTCTAAATGGGATATGAAATTCGATCCCATAAATTGTGACTTGAAGATGAAAAG